ACCTGCTTAAAAGTCTTACTCACATCGGCTACGGAGAGCGTGATCACATAGTCATCCAGAACAGCTGATGCTCTCATGCATGCTTCAGTGTTGCTTGCTTCAAAGCGAGCATAGAAGTGATTTAGCTCATCTGGTAGGCTTATGTCACTGGGCAGCTCGCGGCTGTGCTTCCCTTTGTAGTCTGTAATAGTTTTCAAGCCCTGTCACATCCGACGAGCGTCAGAGCCGGTGTAATACGATTCAATCTTAGTCCTGTATTGACTCTTTGCCTGTTTGATGGTTCGTCGGAGGGCATAGCGGGATTTCTTATAAGCATCCGGGTTAGAGTCCCGCTCCTTGAAAACTGCTGCTCTACCCTTTAGCTCAGTGCGGATGTTGCCTGTAATCCATGGCTTCTGGTTGGGGTATGTACGTACGGTCACTGTGGGGACGACGTCATCGATGCACTTATTGATGAAGCCAGTGACTGATGTGGTGTACTCCTCAATGCTATCGGAAGAATCCCGGAACATATTCCTGTCTGTGCAAGCTTAGCATCTGCGTCATCTGACCACTTCCTTATTAACAGAGTTACTGGTGCTTCCTGCTTTAGTTTTTGCTTATTTGCAGGAATCAGGAGAATAGAGTTATGGTCAGATTTGCCAAATGGAGGGCGAGGGAGAGCTTTGTACGCTTCTCTGTGTGAGGAGTAAAGGTGGTCTAGAGTATTTTTTTTTCTCTGGTTGAACATTTAACATGCGGGTAGAAATTAGGTAGAACGGATTTAAGTTTCCCTGCATTAAATTCCCCGGCCACTAGGAGCGCTGCCTCTAGATGAGTGTTTTCCTGTTTACTTATGGCTTTATTCAGCTCGTTGAGTGCAATCTTAGTGCCAGCATTGGTTTGTGGTGGTAAATAGACAGCTACAAAAAATATAGATGAAAACTCTCTTGGTAAATTGTGTGGTCTACAGCTTATCATGAGATACTTTACCTCAGGCAAGCAAAACCTTGAGACTTCCTTAGTATTACGTTTTATGCACCAGCTGTTGTTTACAAATATACACAGACCGCCACCCCTTGTCTTACCGGAGTCAGCCGTTCTATCCTGCCGATGTAGCGTATATCCCGCCAGCTGTATGTTATCCATGTCGTTGTTCAGCCACGACTCGGTGAAACATAAGATATTACAGATTTTAATGTCCCGTTGGTAGGATAACCTTAATCTTAGGTCGTCCAATTTATTTTCAAATGATTGAACATGGGCTAATAGAATTGATGGAAGAGACAGTTTACTCGCTCGCCGTCGGATCCTTACAAGGCACCCCGACCTACGTCCACGATATCTCTGTCTCTTTCTAATGCGAATGACAGGGATTTGGGCCTTGTCGGGTGTCTGTAGAATATCCTTCACGTCCGACTCGTTGGATAAAATGTTTCCGTCCAATACGAGGTGAGTAATCGCTGTCCTGATATCCAGAAGATCTTTCTGGTCATAAGAGACGGTGGCAGAAACATTATGTACAGAATAAATTACAAATAACGCGAATTAACACACATAATAGTACAATTGGTTTGAGGGCTGTAAAACGGCAGCCGTCTTCTCCGGCGCCATTCAATCAATCGCTGTTCTACCTCCAGAAGCTGTTTTCGGTCATAGGAAATGATGACGGAGACATTATGTACAGTACAAAAAAATTTCTGATGAGCATGAAAAAACACACAAAATAGCAGAATTGGTCAGGAGCCTGTGTAACTCACATTGGTAAGGCGTTGCCAAAAGCCATTGCCAAAACACATGCAACGATGGCACACACACACACACACACACACAAACACCCCCCTCTCAAGCGCAAACTTGGTGGTCAGACACAGGACTGACTCTGATCCACAATAAGTTAAAGTGAGCCACTCTATCACTCTGGTATAGTAGGGTTCGGGGAGTTTGTCTGCCTTGTTGTCTGACTTTGTTTTTGTATTTCCTCTTATTACTTTGGGTCCCCCAGCTCCAGCCCTAAACACATTTGTGGTAAAAAAAATTTTGCAAAATAAGCTTTTTGTGCATATGAAAAATTTCGGGGATCTTTTATTTCAGCTCATGAAACATGGGACCGACGCTTTACATGTTGCATTTATATTTTTGTTCAGTGTAGTGTATTTCAACCATCATCATCACTACAGATACATGGCTTCTCCCACTCTTTTTGACTTCCCTATCCATCCCTGAGTTCTTTCTCTTTCTACACACAGAGTATCTTAATCACAGCGTTATATTTAGACATTGTGAAGTTTCAAACAGCCTACTTTCTCGCCTCCTGCCCCAAGCCAAGCCACTCTCTTATCTGACTGCATGCTCTGTGTATATGATGGCGAGATTAAAGGAAGTGTGTGTGTGTGTGTCTGTGTGTCTGTGTGTGTGTGTCTGTACATATACTCATTTACAGTACCAGTCAAAAGTTTGGACTCACCTACTCATTCAAGGGTTTTTCTTTATTTTTACTATTTTCTACATTCTACAATAATAGTGAACACATCAAAACTATGAAATAACACATTAAATCATGTAGGAACCAAAAAAGTGTTAAACAAATCAAAATATATTTCAGATTTTACGTTCTTCAAAGTAGCCACCCTTTGCCTTGATTACAGTTTTTCACATTCTTGGCATTAGTACATTCAGAGCTGTGTTCGGCAGCGCCAATTATCATGGTCGTGTTCCCCTGCTCAGATGTTGCATGCATCAACCGGTGTTTGTGTGTCATGTCATCGACTTTACCGTTGGGCACCAGATTGCTATAACATATATTGTGGTTAGCTGATATTTAAAATATCTATCCAGGCAGTGTAAGATCTGGCATGCGTCAGCAACGTCTGTGCAAAGGAACACGACCCCTGTGTGTGCGGGGTAACGCAATTGCTAAGGGAGAGAGAAATGTGTACCCTGGTTTATTTGTGATTAATGTAAGGTTCTACACAAAAATAATAATAATAATAATAGTCATAATAACAATAATAAATGTGATGTATATATTTATGGTAATTGAGAAATTGTTACCTGAATATATTAATTGTGATTTCATGCCTTTGTGGAAAGCATTGGTTTATAATTGGTGCAAATGGTCCAGGTGGGAGGTAGGCCAATGCCAGCCAGGGAGGCTAGAAAAGTCATTTCTGTCTATGCCAGACAGGGGCAACGTTCCCATACTGGTGTTCTATCAGGCATTATTGAGGTCTTATTCAGAGCTGTGTTTTAGTTATTGATTACTTTCAGTTTATCTGAGTTTATGTTTCTAGTCTACTCTCCCGAGTGGCGCAGTGGTCTAAGGCACTGCATCGCAGTGCTAGCTGTGCCACTAGAGATCCTGGTTCGAATCCAGGCTCTGTTGTAGCCGGCCGTGACTGGGAGACCCATGAGGGTGGCGCACAATTGGTCCCAGGGTAGGGGAGGGAATGGCCGGCAGGGATGTTGGTAGAGCATGGTGTTTGCAATGCCAGGGTTGTGGGTTTGATTCCCTGCGGGGGGCCAGTATGAAAAATAAATACAAATATGTATGTACTCACTAACTGTAAGTCGCTCTGGATAAGAGCGTCTGCTAAATGACAAAAAATGTAGTCAAGTGTCTTCGTCCTGTTGCAAATAGATTTACATACTGTACATTCTTTTGGCACCTTATTCCCACTTTACTGATAAAAGCGCTCACCCTTAGTCCATGGGCCAGAGGGCCAAATTTCACGTATTTGTCCACTTTGGGGTGGCAAAGTCTAATGATGATTTTCATTTAGTCTGGCCCAGTTTCCACTAGATAGCACAGCCACAAATCAAAATGTGCTATATCGTAAACATGTTTTTGGTCTTAATTTAAGGTTATTAGGCATAAGGTTAGCAGTGTGGTTAAGGTTAAGGTCAGGTTTAAAATCACATTTTAAGAAGATAAATTGTAGAAACAGCCATGGTTTATGACTTTGTGGCTGTGGTAACTAGTGACGACCGGACTACCTGGGCTATTGCACGGAATCAATCTCTCTGCTTCCTCACTGTTCCCCTAGTCTAAATACTGTTTCTCCACCTAGGGTTGTAGTAATGCCAGAAAACCACCACTGGGTGGAGTCTCACCCCCACTGCAACATGTTTAGCTGCTGTAGTTCTTCATTTCATTTGACAGCCAACTCATAATGTGGAAGTGGTTGCATTGTTGTGGTGCTTTAACCTCTATTCAATACTAAACCCCCAGTTACCTGCCTGTAAGGGGAGTGAATGGCATTTCTAGGTTATTTTTACAGCATCAATAGGTGAGTTTAAACACTCTTTTCATCACATATACACTACCGGTCAAAAGTTTTAGAACACCTACTCTTTCAAGGGTTTTTCTTTATTTTTTACTATTTTCTACATTGTAGAATAATAATAAACTATGAAATAACACATATGGAATCATGTAGTAACCAAAAAGGTGTTAAAACAAATCAAAATATATTTTATATTTGAGATTCTTCAAATAGCCACCCTTTGCCTTGATGACAGCTTTGCACACTCTTGGCATTCTCTCAACCAGCCTCATGAGGTAGTCACCTGGAATGCATTTCAAGACAATTACCCAACACACCTCCATGCTGTGTAAGGGCTATTTTACCAAGAATGAGAGTGATGGAGTGCTGCATCAGATGACCTGGCCTCCACAATCCCTCGACCTCAACCAAATTGAGATGGTTTGGGATGAGTCAGACCGCAGAGTGAAGGAAAAGCAGCCAAGACTGTTGGAAAAGCCTTCCATGTGAAGCTGGTTGAAAGAATGCCAAGAGTGTGCAAAGCTGTCATCAAGGCAAAGGGTGGCTATTTGAAGAATCTCAAATATCAAATATATTTTTATTTGTTGAACACTTTTTTGGTTACTACATGATTCCATATGTGTTATTTCATAGTTTTGATGTCTTCACTATTATTCTACAATGTAGAAATTTGTATATTTATCAGTCTCCATCCTCCAATGTGTCTGTTGAGTAACATGTCTCTCTCCTCCTCAGGGCCAGCCTGGTCTTCTTGGTTATCAGGGCCCCCAGGGGCCTCCAGGACATCTAGGGGAGCCAGGAGTCCAGGGAGTCCAGGGAGAGAAGGGCGACCGGGGCAGAGGAGGCTTCATCGGCCCCAAGGGTGCTGTGGTGAGGAACACTGACTGGAGAATTATTCTCTAGAGATCTCAGACACTGGCCTAGTATTGTCCACTCATCAAGTGTTGGTATGGACTTATATACAGTAAGTGTTTTTCCTTTCTCCGCAGGGGATGACTGGTGTTCCTGGGTTTTCCGGGTCGGACGGTATTCCTGTAAGTGGGATTGAGATGTTGCTCTCCAAAAACACATAAATAACAGACACACACGCCAAAAAAAACATCTGTTGTTGCTTTGTTTATACTTTAAGAAATCTTTATACAACGTGTACTGATGTTGTTAAGGGTCTGTCATTAACTCCTCCATGTCATCATCCAGGGCCACCCAGGACAGGCTGGGCCTCGTGGAACACCTGGAGCAGACGGGTGCAACGGAACACACGGAGACTCAGGGTTGGCAGGGCAACCAGGCTACGATGGCCAGCCCGGGTATAAAGTATGTATGATCCCAGTTGATGTCACCAGAGATGTTTGTGGAGACAGAATCAAGGTTTCCACCTTGTAGCCTGAGACATTGAATAACTTCCTTTCCTTCCTTTTTTCTCTTTTAATTGTCTACCCATCCCCCTCTCTCTCCGTCTCTCTCCACAGGGTCAGGCGGGCAGGAAGGGCCAGAAGGGAGACACTCTGGAGCTGAGTGTGTTCATGGAGCGCTTCAGGGTGAGAGGAGAGGGCTGGAGGACTGTGGGATAGACTTGATATAGTATTACATACAGTAGTATCACCTCAGAGCGCTGTATGACCTCTGTGTCCATAGTACAGGCTGTTTTAAATGGTACATCATGCCAGTTGGGCCAGTAACCGAAAGGTCGCTGGTTAAAATACCCTAGCCGATAAGGTGAAAAATCAGTCGATGTGCACTTGAGCAAGGCACTTAACCCTAATTTGCTCCAGGGGCGCCGTACTACTATGGCTAACCCTGTAAAACAGAACATTTCACTGCACCTATCCGGTGTATGTGACAGCTTTTCGCGTGGCGCCGACTGGTAAGACGCTTCAGGAGGGTGGTCACGTGTGCTAGCAAGGCAGAGGTCCCGAGTTCGGGCCAGGTATGGGACGAATCGGGAGGAAATGGTACTCGCTAAGCAAGCAGTGTGATGTCGTTTACTGTGGTGCCGTGATCCGGATCTACAGTTGCGCTCAGCTCAACGCTGGAGTCGCTGTTGAGTAAGTTTGAGGGGTGATTGTAGCACATGAGGATGTGTGCAACTTACTCCTCAGCCTGAAGTGTCCCCACTTGCTCCAGAGAATAGCTAGATTTCCGTGTGGCGCCAACTGGTAAGACGCTTCAGGAGGGTGGTCACGTGTGCTAGCAAGGCAGAGGTCCTGAGTTCGGGCCAGGTATGGGACGAATCAGGAGGAAGTGGTACTCGCTAAGCAAGCAGCGTGACGTCCTTTACACACACATATGATGTACTCTTGTACTCTACAAACAAACAACCTCTTCTCTCTGTGTGACTTTTCTACAGGGAGATTCAGGGCAGCCTGGATATCCTGGAATAGTTGTGAGTATGGCGCCGCCGCCTTTCCCTGTCACTTAAAAGTTCTGGTACAAGATAGCCAGCATATTATACTATTGATATACTACATATTATAAATGGAATTGCGCTCTGACATTCTCTCATTGTCAATCCTCCCTTCTCTCTCTCAGGGTCCTCAGGGTTACCCAGGTCGGTCTGGCTACAGAGGACTCCCAGGACCACAGGTTAGCAGTGTGTGTGTGTGTGTGTGTGTGTGTGTGTGTGTGTGTGTGTGTGTGTGCGCGCATGCGAATGCGTTGCTGTACCTTATACCGTATATACACTTCTGTGACATACAGTACTAGATACCTAATCATTCTTCTGGTTTGTCTCAGGGCCCACCAGGGTTTCCTGGCCTTCCTGGGCCAAAGGTAAGATCCTAACATGCACCAGCTAATTGGGAATATGTTTAATCTCTCGTACAAAATACATGGCTAGTGAATGAGATAAACGTAATTCTAAGGATGTGTTTTAACCTGGTGTGTTTTCTGCTCAGGGCACCATGACCAAAGTGTTGAAGGGGGTCAAAGGAGAAGTTGTGAGTAGCTACAGGCACTTTTATTAGATTTTTTATTTAGTTTTTACTGCCCAGCACTACAAAAAAGTATGATTTGTCAATGATGTCCTCATCTCTGCTGCAATTTTATCACTGCACTTCCCTCTCTGGCCACAGGGTGACGCTGGAGAGCCTGGTCCTCAAGGGAATTCCACCCATTCCCAGACACGCCCATTTACTGGACCCAATGTCAGTACAGCTCCACACTCCACTTTAATATGTTCAAAAACATACAATTAATATGGATGTTTTCCCAGTGATTTTGATTGTGTGTTGACTGAATCACTCTAATGCAGTTCTGCTCTGACTCCTCCAGGGGAGAAAGGGTGAGAAAGGGTTAAAAGGTGATACTGGTCCTGAGGTAAGTGACCTCTCTTCTCCTGTGGTCTTTATTTTACATTTACATTTAAGTCATTTAGCAGATGCTCTTATCCAGAGCGACTTACAAATTGGTGCATTCAACTTTTTTTTTTTTTATGGGGGGGACACCATGCACCATCCTAACATGTGTAGTCACAATGGGACATGTTAGCGCTGTAGATTATTGTTGACTAACTCATCTCTTTTACCTGTTTCTTATCAGGCTGACAACAAAGGAGAGACTGGTGTTATGGGGATGCCTGGGCAACGGGTTAGTATCATACAAACATTATACATACATTATACTGTATGCATTGCTCATAAACTATTATAAATACAGATGAATCTGCCCTATTGATCCTGTCATTGCTTGTGACATACTGACCTGTTTAATGTTTATGTGTGTTCTTTCAGGGAGTCCCTGGTCGGGATGGAGAGCAAGGACTGAGGGTAAGTGTGTGTAGCCAAACAATGCCAACACCTCTATATAGCAGTGGAGGCTGCTGAGGGGAGGACTGCTCATAATAATGGCTGGAATGGAGTAAATGGAATGGTATCAAACATTGATACCATTCCATTCACTCCATTCCAGCCATAACACACCGTTCCAGCCATTATTATGAGCCGTCCTCCCCTCAGCAGCCTCCACTGAAATAATTACACTAGAATGTTTTGGTGTTTGCATAGGTTTGTATGGACCAATAGAGGTGTTGCAGTTGCATCTTCTGTCCTCTTGGTGGTGCTGTTGAACACTTTGTCTAACTAGCCCCCTTCACTCGCCCCTTCAACTCCCTCTCTATTCATTCTCTCTCTCTCTCTCTCTCTCTCTCTCTCTCTCTCTCTCTCTCTCTCTCTCTCTCCTCTCTCTCTCTCTCTCTTCTCTCCTCGCTCTCTCTCTCTCTCCTCTCTCTCTCTCTTTCCCCTCTCTCTCTCTTCCCCCCCCTCTCTTCCCTTCTCTCTCTCTCTCTCTCTCTCTCTCTCTTCCTATCTCTCTCTCTCCAGGGGGACCTGGGAGAACCAGGACTGAGGGGCAGAGATGGTGAAAAGGTGATCCTATCAGAGCTTTGAGAGACACTAGTCCATTCTAAACTTTCATTCATATCCTTACACACATATAGTAGGTTTTAACAGATTGGTGTTGTGGCTTTTAGGGTGCCAGAGGAGAACCAGGAGAGCTGATCTATTATGATGGTCCCTCAGGAGGGCGGGACAGAGGTATGATTAACCAATCGACTCATCAATCACTTTTCTATCACCGTGTCAATCTTCATTCCAGCCAATCAGCTACACTCTCAACAAGTCTATCAATATACAGTATTGTCTTACTCCAGGTAGTCAACCTTTCATTGAATATGATGTTGAACATTAAAAGCAATCTGTTGAGTTTTTATATTATGTTTCACACTGTTATATTGTTATAACACTGATTGTTATATAGATATTGATTTGTGTCCATTTTGGGGTTGGGGTGGGTGGTGTAGTTGGTCCCCCTGGTCCTCCTGGACAGCTGGGTCCCCAGGGCCAGAGGGGTCTGCAGGGGGAGAAAGGTCTTCCAGGCCGCGCTGGACCTCCTGCTAGGAAGGATCATGATCAACAACAAGGTCAGTACCAAACCCTCACTTATCCAGTCAGTGGTCCGTAGTGTTACCTAGCTAGTAGATTTGTCTACTGTACTTGCTATAATGTTATAATAACAATTAAAACTCTATTGTTAACAAGTCTTAAAACAAGATGATGTATGTCGTAGTTGTGTTTTGTGTTTTTCAAACGTTTGATTTCCTCAGTAATCATTCATCCTCTCCTATGTCCCTCATCATGTGGTCCTCTGTAGCTCAGCTGGTAGAGCACGGCGCTTGTAACGCCAAGGTAGTGGGTTCGATCCCCGGGACCACCCATACACAAAAATGTATGCACACATAACTGTAAGTCGCTTTGGATAAAAGCGTCTGCTAAATGGCATATTATTATTATTATCATCTATGTTCCAACAGTGCTGGATCTGTGGGGTCCGTTCGGAGAGCCAGGGGTAAAGGGAGAGATGGGCGCACCTGGAGAGCTTGGTATCCCTGCCCTCAGCCCCGGACCCCCAGGTATCAACGGCCTGCCTGGGCTCAGGGGCCCACCTGGACCACCAGGATCATGTGAGTGTGGACATGAAACAGATTCATTTTGATATTTTATTAAAATGTTATATAGGATGATATTTAAAGTAACTGTCCAGTGTTTCCAGATTTCTATGAAAGATGACATATCATTAATTACAATATGAGTGAAATAGTTGTCCTTCCAAAATGTTTTTAATTAAGTATGTTAAAAAGTACATTACTTTAAATTTGGTGAATCTCTTATACAATGGGTTAAAGTTATTTACAGCAACCCCAGATGTACAATTGTAAATAATGGTTACTTCTCAGAAAGTATTGAGCTTTTAAAGAGGAGTAAAACAAGGCTGTCCGTTGTCTCCATATCTATTTATTATGGTCATTGAAATGCTAGCTATTAAAATTAGATCCAACAAGAACATCAAGGGGTTAGACATCCAGGGGATAAAAACAAGTGTCATTGTATGCCGATGACTCAAGTTTTTCTTAAATCCGCAATCTGGATCCCTGCACAGTCTCATTGAAGCTCTTGATCACTTTTCTAGCCTCTCTGGACTAAAACCTAATTATGACAAGTGTACCATATTACGTATCGGATAGTTAAAAGACACAGTGTTTACACTACCTTGTAGTTTACCAATACAATGGGTGGATGGTGAAGTAGACATACTTGGCATTCACATCTAAAAATATATAAATGAACTTACCACAATCAATTTCAATAGAAAGTTTGCAAAAATAGATAAGATTCTGCAACCATGGAAAGGTAAATACTTGTCTATTTATGGAAAAATCACATTGATTAACTCTTTGGTCTTATCACAGTTTACTTACTTACTAATGGCACTGCCTACTCCAGATGACTCGTTTTTTAAGTCATATGAGCAACAAAAAATATATATATATATTTGGAATGCTAAGCCAGACAAAATTAAATGTGCCTATTTATATAATGAATATGAGTTTGGGTGGCTAAAATTATTAAATATTAAAGCTTTAAACCTCTCACTAAAAGCTTCACTCATACATAAGTTATACTTAAACCCCAAATGGTTCTCCAGTAGATTATTAAGAAAGGCTCATCCTTTGTTCAAAAATGGCCTTTTTGCCTTTATACAGATTACAACTTCTCATTTCTGACTAATTGAAAATGAAATTTTGTTTAAAGTATCGCCTTTTCGTAAACAAGCCATACAAGCTGGTTATAATTTCAGTTTTATCCTCCAGAAAGATAGAACAAATACTACAACAAATGTTATGGTTAAACTGAAATATACTGATTAATAGAAAACCATTCTTTATTGTTTTTCTTTTTACAATTGGTATCATATTTATTAATGATATTATGACTAGAAACGGTGGAGTTATGTCACATATGCAGCTATCGAAAATATATGGGAATATCTGCTCAATCCAAATTTACAACCAACTGATTGCAGCATTACCACAAAAATGGTAAGTGGAAAAGGGAGAAGGTAGGGAACTTGTTTGCCTGCCATATATTAAAGATACAAATTGGCTGAAAGGATTTGGTATAAATAGAAAAATATACCAGTTTCATTTGAGGACAAAAATGTTGACAGCTGCGCCATAGAGGTTGCACAATAAATGGGAAGAGATTTTCGATGTACCGATTACATGGCACATGGTTTATGAACTGGTACAAAAAACAACACTTGATTCAACACTTTGAGTTTTTCAATTTAAATTATTATATACAATTCTTGCCACCAACAGAATGCTATATATATGGGGCATACCACAATCTCAGCTCTGTAGATTTTGCTGCGAAGAGACAGAATCACTAGATCATTTATTCTGGTATTGCCCCTATGTAGCTTGTTTCTGGTCACAGGTCCAGCAATGGTTAAAAAATCACAACATTCACTTAAAATTAACCTTACAAATAGCAGTGTTGGGCGATTTGGAAAGCCATATTCAGTCAATAAATAATATAATAATACTCATAAGAAAGGTTTTCATCTTTAGCTCACAATCTGTGGATACTATACGATTAGAAAGGTTCAAAATGTATAAAATATATGGCACATGGAAACCAAATGAGGGTGGTCTATGGTGATAGGTGGGATGGGCTGAGAGTGGCTGAGGGGTGGGATTAAAGAGTTTATGTTTGGTAATGTATTATTGTAATGTGACTGCTTTATATAAAAGTACCATGTATGTAAAATGTGTATGTAAAATGTATGAATATGTAGCAGAAAAGCTGTAAAAAAATATATATATATTTGTCCTCTGAAGAGGGGGGTAGTGGATGGGTTAATCATTTTAAAAAAGATTTTAAAAAAAGTAGCTTTCCTGTGTTTGAATGGTGTGGGCATACACCGACAACAGAAAGGTGTGGGCGTACACCGACAACAGAATGGTGTGGGCGTACACCGACAACAGAAAGGTGTGGGCGTACACCAACACCAGAAAGGTGTGGGCGTACACCAACACCAGAAAGGTGTGGGCGTACACCAACACCAGAAAGGTGTGGGCGTACACCAACAACAGAAAGGTGTGGGCGTACACCAACAACAGAAAGGTGTGGGCGTACACCAACAACAGAAAGGTGTGGGCGTACACCAACAACAGAAAGGTGTGGGCGTACACCAACACCAGAAAGGTGTGGGCGTACACCAACAACAGAATGGTGGGGGCGTACACCAACACCAGAAAGGTGTGGGCGTACACCAACACCAGAAAGGTGTGGGCGTACACCAACACCAGAAAGGTGTGGGCGTACACCAACAACAGAATGGTGTGGGCGTACACCAACAACAGAAAGGTGTGGGCGTACACCAACACCAGAAAGGTGTGGGCGTACACCAACAACAGAAAGGTGTGGGTGTACACCAACACCAGAAAGGTGTGGGCGTACACCAACACCAGAAAGGTGTGGGCGTACACCAACAACAGAATGGTGTGGGCGTACACCAACAACAGAATGGTGTGGGCGTACACCAACAACAGAATGGTGTGGGTGTATACCAGTAAATCAAAAATATTAATGAGAGTAGATCGCTGATTGGCTAGCTCAGCCAATGAGCCGACATCTTGTTCTATGAGGAAATAGCAAGCTTTTTCTAAACGGTCTGTTTGAGATACATGTTTGAGGTGGCGTTTCTAAGTGTTTTTTTCCCCTCCAATTTATGCTTTGGCCACAAATACAAGTATAGTCAAAAAAATTATTTGGGAGTTAACAGAATATTAACTTTTAAAAGTAAGATTTTTACTGGACAGTTACTTTAAGGATTGTTGTGGGGTGTGAGTGTATGTCTCAACATGTGTTTGTGTGCTTTTCTGTGTCTAAATATCTGCAGGGGCGGACTTCTACAAGGGATTTGCAGGGCCGAGAGGGCGGCCAGGCTCTGCGGGAAGAAAAGGACTGAAAGGTGTGTGTACACAACATAATGTACATTTTTGCAGTATGATCACACGTTATGTGGTACAGTATAGCTGACCGGAATGCGTGTGTTTTAGGTGATCACGGGTTGTGCGAGTGCAACATTGTCCACTCCCCGCCGGGCCTGCCCGGCCCTGCTGGTAGCCAAGGCGACCCTGGAATGAGTGGCGAGGTTGGTCAGCAGGGAGAGTCAGGAGAGCCAGGACCCTCAGGTGTCATCGGACTGCCTGTAAGAACAACTAACACCACCTTATCTTGACAACATCTACCTCACAACAAACATGCACTCACTCACACACCCACACAGACAGACATACGCACACAAACACAAACACAAACATACACATATACATTAATGCTACACACACATCACAACTGCTGCTACCAGACTCTTATTATTATTGCTAAATAATGTACAATTTAAACACTTGCCCCCCAATCCCCCCTTTCCCAAAACACGTGTAAATATTGGACTATAAATTGTATTTTTTTTATATACTGATGCTAAAATGTTTATTCTATTCTACTGAGCCATTTACTTTATGTTCGTATTCTTCTTTTTTATTATTTCTTGTTGTCGAGAAGGTAGCTGCAAGTAAGCATTTCGTTGGACGGTGTATACCATGTGTATCCCGTACATACAACTAATAAAACTTGAAACTTACAATAGGGCAACATTCATCATAAACACCATTGTCTCTTAACTTGTCCATCAACTTATCTCTCACTGGCTTCCTAATCCCTTACTCTATGCCCCCCTCTCTCCCTCGTCCTCAGGGGTTCCCTGGTGCCACAGGACAACCGGGTCCAAAGGGCAGGAAGGGCGAGTTCACTCAGGCCAAAGAGAAAGGTGGAGTATTCTTATTCACTTTCTTTTCACACACTTGTACACCCTTTATACAGTGGTGAGTGTGAGACACCATTATGCATGTAAGTCACTGGAGGTTGGTAGAACCTTAATTGGTAATGACTGGAGCGGTATCGGTGGAACGGTATCAAATACATCAAACACATGGTTTCTATGGGTTTGATGCCATTCCATTCACTCCGTTCCAGCCATTATTATGAGCCGTTCTCCCCTCAGCAGCCTCCACTGATGTAAGTGTATGTGTAAACTAGTGTGTTTGTGTGTGAACTCTACAGGATATGCCGGTGACTCAGGAGACCCAGGTGCAACAGGTGACCCAGGATTGCAGGGCTTCCCTGGGCCCAGTGGGATCAATGGATTCCCTGGGAGTCGTGGTCCTTCAGTAAGAACCCGCTACACTCATCAAAAGAAACGCGCTACCTAGAACCTAAAAGGGTTCTTCGGCTGACCCCATAGGAGAACCCTTTGAATAATCATTTTTGGTTCCAGGTAGAACCTTTTTGGTTCCAGGTAGAACCCTTTGCACAGAGGGTTATACCTGGAACCAAAAAGGGTGCTCCTATGGGGACAGCCGAAGAACCCTTTTGGAACCCTTTTTTCTGAGTGTACAGTCTCTCTTTCCCACCTCATAGTGTCACCACTTACGTTCAGATATACTGCATATACTGTATATAACCTATTCAAACATTATAAGCACTAGATATCTACTTGATTTTGTTCTTGATAAAACTGTTTAAGCCAATGCAGGTGTGTAGATCTTTAGCATAACACTGAGGGATATGTTCTCTGTTCTAGGGGGATGCACCTGCTGGGCTCACTGGAGAAAAAGGTTATCCGGGCCGGCCGGGTCTGCCTGGGTTGTTGGGACAGATGGGAGAACCAGGACGCGTTCTAGGTGCGACTAAAGGGGTCCGAGGGTTGCAAGGCGATGATGGGGAGCGAGGTCAAGCTGGTATCGAAGGTCGAGCTGGAGATCCAGGTGTGTTGGGAAAAGAGGAAGTCTCGCGGCTCTTCCTCCCCCGCGCTCTTCCGCCTCCTCCCTCCGCTCCTCTTCTCCCTATTTCTTTCCCTCTCCGCTCATCGTCGGGAGCCCGGAGCGATCATGGCGCTCGGGCTTAGCGGCATGCCGTGACTCACGCGGCCCCCCCGACTTTGCAAATCACATCAAAATGACTCTTCTCCAATTCTCTAATCTCGTCAGCTCACCCCCGGCTCATCTTCTCCGGAGGAAAATTCTATCCCTCGCTTTCCACAATAAATATGAAATCTCCCCAAGGAGCATTCCAAAAGAGGTGACTTTTCTCTATCTCTTCCCCTTTTCTCAAACCCCACTCTCTCATCTTCCCCCCCGGCCTTCCAATCCCTGCTCACATCTCTTACCGCAATCTCTGACTCCTCTCTTTCCCCCCCTCTCTTCTCTCTCCTCATCTTGCCAATCCACTTGACTCCTTCCAATCTGCCTCCCCCCGCTCTTCCAAGCACTCTGACTAGCATCTCTTCTCTCTATCTTCTCACTGTATCTTTCCCAATCACTGACTCACCTCTTTCTCTCCTCTTCTCTCTCTCTCTCTACTTCGCTTTGCTCTCTCTAGATCTCAGCTCTCCTCTCTTGGGGAATCCGCTAACTGACTCGCTCCCCTCCCAAACGCGGCGCTGCTCTAGCTCTAACCGAATCACTCTGACCATCTCTCTCATCTCTTCAAATCTATTTTCCTCTCAAGATCTTACCCTCTTTGCCCCTCGGGTTTGCTTTAATCAGGATCTCTCTCCTGCCTTTATTCATCCCCCTCTCTCTCCCTCTCTCTCGCTTTCCAATCCTCTACTCCTCTCTCTCTCTCTCCTCTCTCTCCCTCTCTTTCCCAATACTAACTTTCTCTCCCCCCTTCCCCCCCCTCCTCCTCCCTTTCCCCTTCCCCCTTTCCCTCTCCCCCCCCCCCCCCCCCCCCTCTCCTTCCCTCCTCCCTTTTTTCTCTCCCCTACTTTCCCAAACACCGACCCTTTCTCCTCTCTTTCTTCTCTCTCTCTCTCTCTCCCCTCTCTTCTCTTCTCCCCTCCTTCCCTATCTATCCTTTTCCCCCTCCTCTCTCCTCCTCTCTCTCTCTCTCCTCTCCCCCCCTCTTTCCCAATCACTCTGACTTTCTCTCCTCTCCTCCTTTTCCCTCCTCTACCCTTCTCTCTCTCCCCTTTTCTTCTCTTCTTTTCTCTTCTCTTTCCTCCTCCTCCCCTCCCCTTTTCTTTTCTCTCCCTTCCCTTTTTTTTTTTTCCCCCCCCCCCCCCCCCAAAACCCCCCCCCCCCCCCCCCTTTTTTTCCCCCTTTTCCCCCCCCCCTTTTAATTTTTTTTTTTTTTTTTTTTTTTTCCCCCCTTTGTTTTTTTTTTTTTTTCCTTTTTTTCTTCTTTCTTAAAAAAAAAAAAAACCCCCCCCCCCCAAAGGGGGGAAAAAAAAAAGTTTAAAAAGGGAAAAAACCCCAAAAAAAACCCCCCCCCCCCCCCTTTTTAAAAAAAAAAGAAAAAAAAAGGGCCCCCCCTGGGAAAAAAAAAGAAAAGAAAAAAAAAGGGGGGGGGGGGTTTTTTTTTTGGGGGGGGGGGCCCAAAACAAAAACCCTTTTTCAAAAAAAAAGGGGGGGGGGGAAAAAAAACCCCACGAACTGAGTAATCATCTCTCTCTATCGACACGTACTAGTATATCTCATAAAAAACATCCCTGAATGACTTAAATAATCTACTATATTATTACTAATATAATAGACTCTTTTTTCTCTCTCTCTTTACTCCCACCCAATATCTGACTCTCTTCTCTTCATCCTCCTCTCTCTACCATATCGTCTTACTACTTACAATCACTCTACTCTATCTCTCTCTCTCTCTCTCTTATCTCTCATCTCTCTCCCTACAAATCTCTTTCCCAATCACTCTGACTCTTCTCTCTCTACTATCTCTTTCCAATATACGACATTATTCATATCTCTTCTTTTTTATCTCTCTGCTCATTTGCAATCACTTCTCTCTCTCTCTCTCTTCTCTCTCTCTCTCTTCTCTCTCCTCTCTCTCTCTCTTCTCTCTCTCTCTCTCTCTCTCTATCTTCTCTCTCTCTCTCTCTCTCTCTCTCTCTCTCTCTCTCTCTCTTTCCCAATCACTCTGACTCATTCTCTCTCTCTCTCTCTCTCTTTCTCTCTCTCTCTCTCTCTGTCTCTGTCTCTGTCTCTGTCTCTGTCTCTGTCTCTGTCTCTGTCTCTGTCTCTCTCTCTCTCCCCTTTTATCTCTCTCTCCACTTCCGCTATTTGTGGGGACAACAGAAAGACTAGTTGTAGTTGTACACTCCAAGGCTTTGTAATGAATGGGGGTGTGCGAGAAATTATACTTCCACTTTCTTCTTTCCTCACCTCTCTCCCCAGACGAGCCCAGTTGCAGTCCATCTGCATCCCTCAAACCAGCCACAGCAGTACTTGTTTGAGATCATGCTTTAAAAATTTTCCAACACTTATTTCAAATGCCTCTCTTTTTCTTTCTATCTCTTTCTCATTGCCATTGAAAGGAGTGTCTGGCTGTAGTCCGAGAGGAGATGGAGAACAGAATGACATCACAGGTAGCTGGACTAACAGCATTTTAATCAAGTTACTCTACTTCACGATTGGTGTTTTGCTTCCATAGCCTTTGTGTCTTGGGTTAGCTTACAGTCACTGTGTATAGAGTTAGAGTTTTTTACTGGTGTATTAGTAACTGTTTTTTCCCCTCATAGTCTCATCTTCGGTTAGTTGGCTAATATGTATGTTATTTAATTTTTGCTATGCTCTGATTCACAATCCACACTGACCATTCTTATAGTAATTGTTGATACAATTGTTATTTTTTTACTCAGGCGATTGTGATGCCTTACCCGGACCACCCGGTATGCCAGGACCACCAGGACCCCACGGGTTAGAGGGTTTCCCAGGTAACGTTTCCTGAAGGTTCCTTTTAAGCTTTTAGAATGCAAAACAGAAAATGTGTCATATGCTCTGTCTTTTCCTGTCAAGAACCAAATTGATGTCTAGCTTCCTGCATGTTCTTTTGTCTGTGCTTCAGGTCTCCCAGGTCAGAAAGGAACAACAGGTCCACTTGGAGATGAGGGGGCCAAAGGAGAGATAGGAGAGCAAGGCAGAGGAGGGTCACCTGGATATCCAGGTGATCATTTTGCTGCTTTAACTGTTATACTAGTCTATGGCTGTGTTTACAATGGCGAAAGAGCTGATCTGATTGGTCAAAAGACCAATTACTGGAAAAAATGATCAGAATTAGGCTGCCTGTGTAAACGCAGCCTTTTTGCGCTAGTTACAGACACTTATACCATGGCATTGTTGAATACTCATTTCTGATTGGCTTGAAGGGCATTATAAAGCATGCTTTATACACATAGCATCACAGCAGATCACAGGTACATTTACTCCCACTTGTAATGGATGCACTTGTACAATAGGCCTAGGGACCGATTCAGACTTAGAACATTTACGTGTTTCCTTTCCTACGCACTTCTCAGTATTTGGTATTCAGACTTACCTTATTCAGTCACATAACACGCTCTGCAGGTGTGGCTACCTTGCGAACCCGTTTGCTGGCCAACAGATTTTCTTATGGAGTTTTCATTCAATAGGGTTTTCAGTACATTTATCTTAAGCCATCCCTTTAAATACGGTGTACCTTTTAGTTAGAATTTTGTAGACAGACTACAATATATCGAGAGAACAGGTTCAGAATATTAGGGATCAGTGAAAGAAAGACATCTAAATATATTCATATTCGTCTCTGTTTCAGCACCAATTGGTACATTTTAAAATACTCTGATCTTGTAGATTATTTAGGGTTAGGAAAGTATTTATTAATCATAAAAAACAGGTTTGGAGACACTTTATGCAGAAGATATATTGATGAATAAAAAATACAGTGGTTTGATTCATCCTGAAAGTTGCCATATTCAGTTCTTCAACCCATGGTAATGTTGGAAGATTAGTGTAGATATAATTATAATAGGGAGAATAGTGTAAATGAGTAGGCTATACCCTTGTCTATCGGGTTGAAACTGTTACAGCTTGGTCTGCGCTCCGCTCCGTAACGATTTCATTAGCGTACATGTCTTTTTTATATAGATTATCAGCTGTTACTAATGATTCTTAGCAACAACCGCATTTCATATATACAATGTATATAGTATGTATAAGCATGAAGTAGAGGCCTAAGCATTGTTGTTCACTAGTTTACTCCAATTAGGGAAGGGATGGTGGGGTTGGAAAGTAATAAAGGGAAATATTTTTTTTTTGAAAGGATGTGTATGTATATATATATATGTATGTATATGCGTATATGTATGTATGTGTATGGATGTCTATGTACACTGCTCAAAAAAATAAAGGGAACACTTAAACAACACAATGTAACTCCAAGTCAATCACACTTCTGTGAAATCAAACTATCCACTTAGGAAGCAACACTGATTGACAATACATTTCACATGCTGTTGTGCAAATGGAATAGACAACAGGTGGAAATTATAGGCAATTAGCAAGACACCCCCAATAAAGAAGTGGTTCTGCAGGTGGTGACCACAGACCACTTCTCAGTTCCTATGCTTCCTGGCTGATGTTTTGGTCACTTTTGAATGCTGGCGGTGCTTTCACTCTAGTGGTAGCATGAGACGGAGTCTACAACACACACAAGTGGCACAGGTAGTGCAGCTCATCCAGGATGGCACATCAATGCGAGCTGTGGCAAGAAGGTTTGCTGTGTCTGTCAGCGTAGTGTCCAGAGCATGGAGGCGCTACCAGGAGACAGCCCAGTACATCAGGAGACGTGGAGGAGGCCGTAGGAGGGCAACAACCCAGCAACAGGACCGCTACCTCCGCCTTTGTGCAAGGAGGAGCAGGAGGAGCACTGCCAGAGCCCTACAAAATGACCTCCAGCAGGCCACAAATGTGCATGTGTCTGCTCAAACGGACAGAAACAGACTCCATGAGGGTGGTATGAGGGCCCGACGTCCACAGGTGTGGGTTGTGCTTTCAGCCCAACACCGTGCAGGACGTTTGGCATTTGCCAGAGAACACCAAGATTGGCAAATTCGCCACTGGCGCCCTGTGCTCTTCACAGATGAAAGCAGGTTCACACTGAGCACATGTGACAAACGTGACAGAGTCTGGAGACGCCGTGGAGAACGTTCTGCTGCCTGCAACATCCTCCAGCATGACCGGTTTGGTGGTGGGTCAGTCTTGGTGTGGGGTGGCATTTCTTTGGGGGGCCGCACAGCCCTCCATGTGCTCGCCAGAGGTAGCCTGACTGCCATTTGGTACCGAGATGAGATCCTCAGACCCCTTGTGAGACCATATGCTGGTGCGGTTGGCCCTGGGTTCCTCCTAATGCAAGACAATGCTAGACCTTATGTGGCTGGAGTGTGTCAGCAGTTCCTGCAAGAGGAAGGCATTGATGCTATGGACTGGCCCGCCCATTCCCCAGACCTGAATCCAATTGAGCACATCTGGGACATCATGTCTCGCTCCATCCACCAACGCCACGTTGCACCACAGACTGTCCAGGAGTTGGCGGATGCTTTAGTACAGGTCTGGGAGGAGATCCCTCAGGAGACCATCCGCCACCTCATCAGAAGCATGCCCAGGCGTTGTAGGGAGGTCATACAGGCATGTGGAGGCCACACACACTACTGAGCCTCATTTTGACTTGTTTTAAGGACATTACATCAAAGTTGGATCAGCCTGTAGTGTGGTTTTCCACTTTAATTTTGAGGGTGACTCCAAATCCAGACCTCCATGGGTTGATAAATTTGATTTCTATTGATCATTTTTGTGTGATTTTGTTGTCAGCACATTCAACTATGTAAAGAAAAAAGTATTTAATAAGATTATTTAATTCATTCAGATCTATGATGTGTTGTTTAAGTGTTCCCTTTATTTTTTTGAGCAGTGTATATATATATATATATATATATATATATATATATATATATATATATATGCGAGAGAAAAAAAACATATGGGGGATTGAATGTGATGCAATTACATTGATGGAAGTTACAATCTATCTGCAATAAAAAAAAAATTATTATTATTTTTTTTTTTACGCATTTCATAAACCTTACTGTGGGAAAGTTGATATGTTGATATGCTTCAGTTTGCTGCCAAATGACTGGTTTCACATTTTTCTAGCAATTATAAGGTCAAATAGATCTAAAACAAGTGTAATTTATATTTACAATTCCCTTATCCAAATGGATTACTCATTTACCTAGCTCTTATCAATAGCTCTTATCAAGTTGTAAATTACAGTGCATGGATAATGGTGTTATTTCTATTGGAAAAAAGTACACCTTATTCATGGTTTCCTCGCGCGTAAAGATGGTGGAATTATTACGGAATTAAGTCAAGGTCAGAATATCTGTAGACACAACTCCACCACACCTTCATTTATTCTATCACCACCCCAAACGAATAGCTGATGAATAGCATGCCATTCTCATGCTTAAGTTCAAGGTCAGAATATGCATAGAGAGAAAAGTGCATAAAAAGGGAATTATGTTCCATTTACACACACTTAACTCGGGTCGGAATCCCCCCCTAGTGCTTTAATACTGATGGTCTGGTCCTCTCTCCCAGGTTTTATCGGCCCCCGTGGAGACCTGGGTCAGCCCGGCTCAAAGGGTAATCCTGGAACCCAAGGTCTCCCAGGTCAACAAGGTCGGAACGGGGAGCCAGGAGAGAAGGGACCTCACGGGGAGATCTGGGGCGCGTCGACTGGACAACCTGGAGAAGTGGGTCTTCCTGGAGAGCAGGGACCAAAAGGATTCAGCGGAGAACCTGGAAACGAGGGCTACCCAGGTGGGTACTAATACAATAACTTACCAGCGTACTGCAGGATGAAAAACTACAATTTCTCCACCTTTTCAAGAGTGGTTATGTACAGTGCATTCAGAAAGTATTCAGACCCCTTCCCGTTTTCAACATTTTGTTACATTACAGCCTTATTCTAAAATTGATCAAATTGTATTTTCCCCTCATGCATCTACACACAATACCCCTTTTTTTTGTGCAAATGTATTAAAAATAAAAAACAGAAATACCTTATTTAAGTATTCAGACCCTTTGCTAAGAGACTCAAAATTGAGCTCAGGTGCATCCGGTTTCCATTGATCATCCTTGAGATGTTTCTACAACTTGATTGGAGTCCACCTGTGGTAAATTCAATTGATTGCACATGATTTGGAAAGGCACACACCTGTCTATATAAGGTCCCACAGTTGACAGTGCAGGTTTGCAGGTCCCCAAGAACACAGTGGCCTCCACCATTCTTAAATGGAAGAAGTTTGGAACCACCAAGACTCTTCCTAGAGCTGCCTGCCCAGCCAAACTGAGCAATCGGGGGAGAAGGGCCTTGGTCAGGGAGGTGACCAAGAACCCGATGGTCACACTAACAGAGCTCCAGAGTTCCTCTGTGGAGATGGGAGAACCTTCCAGAAGGACAACCATCTCTGCAGCACTCAACCAAACAGGCCTTTATGGTAGAGTGGCCAGAAGGAAGCCACTCCTCAGTAAAAGGCACATGACAACCCGCTTGGAGTTTGCCAAAAGGCACCTAAAGGACTCTCAGACCATGAGAAACAAGATTCTCTGGTCTGATGAAACCAAGATTGAACTATTTGGCCTGAATGCCAAGCGTCTCGTCTGGAGGAAAACTGGCACCATCCTTACGGTGAAGCATGGTGGTGGCAGCATCATGCTGTGGGGATGTTTTTCAGCGGCAGGGACGGAGACTAGTCAGGATCGAGGGAAAGATGAATGGAGCAAAGTACAGAGAGATCCTTGATGAAAACCTGCTCCAGAGCGCTCAGGACCTCAGACTGGGGCGAAGGTTTACCTTCCAACAGGACAACAACCCAAAGCACACAGCCAAGACAACGCAGGAGTGGCTTCGGGACAAGTCTCTGAATGCCTTTGAGTCGCCCAGCCAGAGCCCGGACTTGAACCCGATCAAACATCTCTGGAGAGGCCTGAAAATAGCTGTGCAGCGACGCTCCCCATCCAACCTGACAGAGCTTGAGAGGATCTGCAGAGAAGAATGGGAGAAACTCCCCAATACAGGTGTGCCAAGCTTGTAGCGTCATACCCAAGAAGACTCGAGGCTGTAATCGCTGCCAAAGGTGCTTCAACAAAGCACTGAGTAAAGGGTCTGAATACTTATGTAAATGTGATATTTCCTAGTTTTTTATTATACATTTGCAAAAAATTCTAAAAACGTGTTTTTGCTTTGTCAGTATGGGGTACTGTGTGTAGATTGATGAGGGGGGAAAAACAATGAAATCCATTTTAGAATAAGTCTGTAACGTAATAAAATGTGGAAAAAGTCAAGGGGTCTGAATACTTTCCGAATGCACTGTATAGTTATTGTAATGGCCTCTCTCTGCCCCTCTCTCTCAGGGATGGGTGGCATGCCTGGGATGATTGGGTTCAAGGGCGACGTGGGTCCTTCAGGTCTGCAGGGGGAGAAAGGAAGACCGGGAGCTGCTGGGATGTACGGCTGGCCAGGTGTACCCGGACAGGCTGGTGTCCCTGGACCAACAGGAAGCACTGGACAACCAGGTCAGACACACAACTGACTAACTTTTCTTTCTTAACTTGTTTCTGTTTGCTTTGAAGATGAAGAACCTAATACACTGTGTATGTGTCTCTTCCAGGTTTGAGCGGAGACAGGGGTGATCAGGGGGATCCTGGCACCCCAGGGCCAATAGGACTGAAGGGGACACCGGGGGAGTTTGGTAGTCTGGGTGCTGAGGGAAACACCGGAGAGCAGGGTGACCCCGGAGTGCCAGGACCTACAGGACACTCTGGTCTGCCAGGGTTCAAGGGTAACTTATTATACACAGTGGAGTCATGTTCTGTCCAATGTTCTGATCACATTCCACATGTCATTTTCTGATGAATAGTTGATATGAGGATGTAATGTCACCCTAGAGTTTTGCAGTGAGGAATGATGAAATACACTGAGTATACAAAACATTAGGAACACCTGCTCTTTCCATGACATAGACTGACCAGGTGAATACAGGTGAAAGCTATGATCCCTTATTGATGTCACCTATTAAATCCACTTCAATTAGTGTAGATGAAGGGGAGGAGACAGGTTAAAGAAGGATTTTTAAACCTTGATACACTTGAGACATGGATTGTGTATGTGTGCCATTCATAGGGTGAATGGGCAAAACAAAATATTTAAGTGCCTTTGAACGGGGTATGGTAGTAGGTGCCAGGGGCACCAGTTTCAGTGTGTCAAGAACTGCAACGCTGCTGGGGTTTTCACGCTCAACAGTTTCCCGTGTGTTTCAAGAATGGTCCACCACCCAAAGAATATCCAGCTAACTTGACACAACTGTGGGAAGCATTGGAGTCAACATGGGCCAACATTGTAGAGTCTATGCCCCAACAAATTTAGGCTGTTCTGAGGTCAAAAGGTGGTGCAACTCAATATTAGGAAGGTGTTCTTAATGTTTGGTATATTCAGTGTATATCATAACCAGATGCTGCTGTGAGGACATTCCTCCTGACCTGTGATGTCACTTCCTGTTCCAGGTATCAAAGGTTCTCGTGGCATGTCAGGGTTTGGAGGACAGCCCGGTGAGTCGGGCCTGAAGGGCTTCTCTGGACAGAAAGGAGAGACTGGCATTCCCGGCGAATTTGGACAGAAAGGAAACATGGGCTACTATGGTTCAAAGGGTGAGACTGAACAGCTGTTAGAATTGTGTGTGTTTCTGTGCTCCACTGCTCTCTTTCCCTGTCCCTCGCTTTCTCTTTAGATCCTTCTATCTGATTTGACACTCACTCTCACCCCCGCTGTCTCCTAGGTGACCGTGGTCTGAGGGGTCCAACTGGCGAGAAGCCCCACATCCCTCGTCAGATCATCAAAGACATGAAGGGGACAAAGGGAGAAGATGGAATCCCAGGGCAGATCGGATTCACTGGACCCAGAGGTGAGTAGGGATATTCAGGCTTCATGTCCTCCCAATCCCCCTCTCTTCTTTATTCACATACTGTCCTCCTCAGCCTCCTTTTCATTTATCTCATTCTGATCCCCTCTTTACCTTCCCTCTCACTCTTCTACAGGTCCTAAAGGTTTTCCCGGTGTTCCGGGAATGGAGGGTTACCACGGCGTTCCCGGAGACCCCAGCGATGAGAAGGGTTTCCCAGGCAACCCAGGAGCGCAGGGACTTCCGGGGCCAAAAGGAATGCCGGGTCCAACCGGATCAAACGGAATCAGTGGCTTTCCCGGGATGTCTGGTCACAGGGTGAGACCATGTTGTCTGGTTTCCATTGTGTCTCTGCTGCAGCCAGCACCTGTAGTTATCATGCTAAACATGTTCAACAACCAGGTTAGAACAGACTCTCTGTCCGATCTAATGCTGTATCTCTATAGCACTATTGGGTGATCTGAAAAGTCATAGTCAATCGATCAATAATGTAATAATACTTTTAGCAAAAATGTTTATTTTAAATTTACAATCTGTAGAAACAATGAGAACTTTTGTGAAACATCACAGTACAGTTGAGAAATATATGGCAAGTAGAAATCCAATATGGATGGTGTTAAGAGATAGATGGGAGGGGTTGAATGGAGCTGGTTGGGGCTAATAACAACAAAATAACTAATGTAAAACATACTGTGTCCATAATAAGTATATAGGTTGAGAACTTTTGTGAAAGAGCACAGTTTAGGGGATATGGCATGTAGAGGCAAACCAGATGGACATCATGAAAATGATCAGAGAAGTTGAGGGTAGAGGAAAATTGGTTGTGTCCATACAATGTATATAGTATGTATAAGCTGGAAGTAGAGGCCTAAGCATTGTTATTCACTAGTTTACTCCAATTAGGGGAGGGGTGGTGGGGTTCGAAAGTAATAAAGGAAAATAACATTTTAAAAAGGGTATATATATGTATGTATGTATGTATGTGTATGTATGTGTATGTATATATAATTTATATAGATATATATATATATATTTGCGAGAAAAAAACATATGGGGGATTGGAAGTGATGCAGACAATTACATTGATGGAAATTACAATCTATCTACAATATTAACGCTGATCTACCCCCCCCCAAAAAAATTTGCAAATAAATGCTGTATCTCTATGTGTGTGTTTTTCAGGGGGATAAAGGTAACCCCGGTGCCTACGGATCCTCAGGAGATCCAGGAGTGAAGGGTGTCAAAGGTATGACGCCCCCTGTCTGTCCCAAAACTCATGGATAAGTACAGTACCGTAGACGCCAGTAGTCATCCAAACTCCACTTTCCAGCAGTTTCAACTCAGTTAAATCTTGTCTTGTTAAGCACTTGGACTTGAAGCAAAAGTCCCAGGCCTATTTAACAGTTCCACAGAAGAAAGAATGAGTCGTAAAAGGTACTCGCTGAAATACGTGTCACTGTTTCCTTTTCCAGGTGAGGGGGGTGACGTAATCGACATGCCCGGATCCACAGGACTGAGGGGGGAGGATGGTTTCCCTGGGGTTTCAGGTGAGTCACTCATTGAGGCTGGCTTCCTTCATTTGCACTAGGAACCACAGATGTTGTATCTTTATTTGATCACTCTGTTGTCGCAGGAAATTCAAATGATCCTCTTTACATAAATTCACTGAAAACCCGCAGTTCTCTTTCTCTCACTAGATATCACACCTAAACTATAGCCTACTGTAGCTTATCAAAACTAATTTCCTGTTAGAAATTATCACTTTTTTGATATACATATAATCAAATCATCCTGCTTCAGGATTATTTTACTCCTGCTACAAAACTGGTCAAATTAAGATCCTACATCTGCATGGACTAATGAGAGCAAATACCTGGTAGGCCTCCACCATATTGCTTTTACCTATTCTATGTTCTCAGATCAGTGCAGATTAAGAAAATGAGTCTATGTAAGATGCTCTCTGAGAAGTGTTACCATGGTAACAGTGTTCCTGATGCTCTCTGTCTCTCCCTACAGGTCAGAAGGGCTACATTGGGATTCCGGGAGACAGGGGCGGTGGAGGTTTCCATGGTATCGAGGGCATGAAGGGGGGGCCAGGTGAACCTGGCACAGGAGGACCTATAGGTAAGAGACTTGACTTCCTGCCCTGTTGCTCACATTATTAGAATGAGTGTCATTCATTGCCTGTGTCTGACTGTTACCAGTCTGACTCTCTGTGGTTGTTGTCTCCAGGATCTGATGGTCAACAAGGGTTTCCAGGCAACCAGGGTACGAAGGGATGGCCTGGGGTCCCCGGAGAATCAGGCACACATGGACAACCAGGTTTCCCCGGACAGAGAGGTACACACACACACACACATGGGTGTGCACACACAAAACCTTTGCCTTACCACTGTGTTTGATCTGCTCCTCTCTGCAGGTTTCCCTGGACTAAAGGGTATATTCGGACTGGATGGGCTGAAGGGTCAGAAGGGCATCCCTGGACTTCCAGGTCAGGATAACTTTGGAACCCCAGGTGACCCCGGTTCTAAGGGAGCGAGGGGAGAGACAGGTATACCCAACTCCGAGGTCGGGACACCAGGATCGCTGGGTTTGAAGGGAGTTCAAGGACAACCAGGTTAGTCACTGCTCCTAAAGAAACATTGCATCTTTTTGTTACAAAATTTGGAGGACATTTTGTGTTTTATAGTGTCTAAGACCTCCCTCTTCTCTTCTTGTCTTCCTCTTCTCTTCTTGTCCTCAGGTGACCAGGGCCAGGTGGGACCCCCAGGGTTTCCGGGCCCCCAAGGGCCACAGGGCACCTCAGACAGACCCGGACCATCAGGAGACCCTGGCTTCCCTGGACCCAAAGGACAGTCAGGTGGAGTAGACAATGACGGAGTGGAATGTGTAGATTTAGAGTAGATTAACTGACTTGAGTATTTATCCTCTGGGATGTGTTGTGTGTGAAGTGTTTTGTGTGTTAATAATGCTTGTTCTGTTTTGCAGGTTTCCCTGGGACCCGTGGTTTCCCTGGTGAGCCCTCTCCGTACGGAGAGAAGGGTTTAGCTGGCCAGTATGGCTTCCCTGGATTCCCTGGTCTGAAAGGAAAGCAGGGGGATCAGGGACCATCAGGATACAAAGGACAGAGCGGAGTGTCTGGGAAGAAAGGTACGGATCATACACTCTTAGAACAAAAGGTGCTATCTAGAACCGGCTGTCCCCGTAGGATAACAAAACCAAATTCTGGATTGTGTTTTGGAATTCCAAAATGTAGGAATTCCTACATGGAACCAAAATGGGTTATCCTATGGGGACAGCCAAAGAACCCTTTTGGAACCCCTTTTTCACAAGAGTGTATGGTTATAGGATAGAGGAGAAATTCCAAAATACAATCCAGAATGATGTTTTGTTATCCATTTTAGATGGCTGTCTGTTTGACTTTTGACAGGCAGGGAATGTTGAGCTGTTTAACTTGGCACTGAAACAGTAAAAGTAACAGCCATGTCTTTTGTCTCAAAGGTGTGAAGGGAGATCAAGGGATGATGGGAATTCCTGGTAGGTCTGGTTTCCAAGGAGACCGAGGTCCTTCCGGCCCAAAAGGAAATACTGGACTCACAGGTAATGATGTCATCTCCCTCTGTTTGGTATCACTCTGCACATTACTATAATTCACCTGAAAATCACCTACATTATCATGGAAGTTGCCTGTTTCGCACGTACAATCTGTGTGTTGCCTGGTCTGGACCTGCAGGTTATCCAGGAGCCCCAGGTAACCAGGGCCCAGCCCCACTACCCCCCAGGATGCCAGGAGAGAGGGGTGCTCCAGGTCCTCAGGGCATCCAAGGACCAGAGGGTGTACGAGGGGAGACCGGCCCGAAAGGACCCCCTGGAGATCCAGGTAGGATAATCTCAATTGTTACTGTGTTACAGTGTTGTATACTTGTCAATATAAAATACTGTTCTATATACAATTGCTTCTGTGGGATTGGCTAACTTTTCTCTGACCTTTCTTTCCCCATTTTCCTACTTCCTTACCCCTATTCCCCATCTCCCCTCCCTCCTCCAGGCTACTTCGGACCCCAGGGGCAGAAGGGGATGCCAGGGCTGGGTGGCAGACCAGGTACCCCTGGGTACCGTGGGAATGTTGGAGGGAGGGGCCATCTTGGTCTGCAGGGCGTGGAAGGTAGGTACAGTATGGCAGGCGTGCCAGGGCGACAAGGCATATTAGAATTACAGCACTTAGTTCTGTAATTAGCTTACTGATAAAGGGTCTGAAATTGAATTAAATCCTGTATTCCATTTAGTTTTCATGGTGGTGCAATTTATTAGACCTGAAAGTGTTATGTATTTAATGTAAATTAATTTTAACACACAAACATTTAGGGAAAAAAAACATTGCACATAATTTTAACATTACACACAGATGCATTTAAACCTCTCTCTCTCTAACCCCTAGGTCACCGTGGTAACCCAGGTACTACAGGGTTGCCTGGCATGCCGGGCCGCAGTGTGAGCGTGGGATACCTGCTGGTGAAGCACAGCCAATCAGAGCAGACCCCCATGTGCCCCGTGGGCATGTCGAAGCTGTGGGACGGCTACAGTCTGCTGTACTTCGAGGGCCAGGAGAAAGCCCACAACCAGGACCTAGGTGAGAAAGAGATAAGAAAAACTAAAAGACAGGAAATTCAAATAAACACCACACCATTATTGGGTTGTACTCGTATCTATTCAGATTTGATTGGATTGGCAGATAGAACAAAGTAAGGATGTCTCAAGTTTGTCTGTAGTGACTGTAGCTCAGTGTCATAATTATATATGAATACATTTATTGCTTAATTGCTTAATTGGTTGATTGAATTGATCTGTTGATCCCAGGTCTGGCGGGCTCCTGCCTCCCTCGTTTCAACACCATGCCCTTCCTGTACTGCAACCCTGGAGACGTCTGCTACTACGCCAGCCGCAACGACAAATCCTATTGGCTGTCCACCACCGCGCCCCTTCCCATGATGCCCGTGGAGGAAGGTGAGATCAAACCCTACATCAGCCGCTGCTCTGTGTGCGAAGCTCCGTCCGTCGCCATCGCCGTGCACAGCCAGGATATCACCATCCCACAATGCCCTGCTGGCTGGCGCAGCTTGTGGATTGGCTACTCCTTCCTCATGGTGAGTCTTTCCTTCCTGTTCTACACAATCTAAAGTGCCCTCCTCTCCTTGTCTGTTTCTTCATCTCTACTAATCTGAAAGCAATATGATTGAAGCCTACTGGGAATTTGCTTTAATCTGTTCAACTCTTTCACGTCATGGGAATGTAAATGGCGTAGGTAGGAGGTTGAATAAGACATTCATATCAGTGTTCATACAACCTCTCTTATCCCTCCCTCTCCCCACAGCACACGGCAGCAGGTGACGAGGGTGGTGGTCAGTCTCTGTCGTCCCCTGGTTCCTGTCTGGAGGACTTCCGTACCACGCCCTTCATTGAGTGTAACGGGGCCAAGGGCACCTGCCACTACTTTGCCAACAAACACAGCTTCTGGCTCACCTCCATCGAAGAGTCCTTCCATGCCGAGCCTGCCTCAGAGACCCTGAAAGCAGGCCAACTCCTCTCACGCATCAGCCGTTGTCAGGTCTGCATGAAGAACCTGTGACCTGCCTCACCCTAAATCCCCGTTGACCCTGTGATGTCATTTCCTGTGACCATACCCCCCTGCCAAACACAATTCAGGAAGTAATTGCCTTTGGCCTTAGGCACAGATCTAGCTTACCCTCCTCAATTCCTAACTTAAGCCATGAAGGGGAAACGCAAAACTAACCTTAGATCAGCGTCTATGGGGCAGCTTCATCCTAATCCCCCGAACTCTGGCTTGGGAGGACTGAAGGACTGTGTGAACACTTCAAGTGGAGAGCAAGTGTCCTGTGTTAAGAAAAAAATCCCTGCCATAAAGTCAACAGCGATATGAAATATACATGTAAATGCTGTTTTTAATTGTTTGTCCTATTTGATATGGTGCTTTCTCTCTAACTTATTACCTCAGCTATAATTATACACCAAACATGTTTAACTGACCATACCAAGAACATACAGCTGAAACAACCAAAGATGCCCGTGTGTACGCACTGCTTAAGTTATTAATCAATCAAATTATTGATTAAATTGATTGCGTGTGTGTACTGCTTCAGTTATTACATTTTTAAAAGTGTGTTTGTTTTATTCAGGTATAAGTGCCAAAGCCACTTCACTAATACTGACCCTCAACCAATTGTAAATGATGAGGTTTAGTTGAGGGTTTTGCTCTTAACATTCAGTATTATTCTGCTTTACATCAAGTGTTCGCACATAACATAACAGCCACTGTGCACTGTTGCTTATGTATGTTAGCTATATATATATATCACTGTTTATGTATCAATATATTTTACATTCACACATTGCTTTGATCACAAAATGCACTGATTTACCTTTTTATATTTATATCCGCTGAATGAACTTGATTCTCATTTTACTCATAACTAAAAACATATTAGTTTGATTTTGTTTTACCATTGACACTAATTATTGACATCACATTTTCATATGAACAGTCAGCTCAGTCTCAGCTGGAATCAAGCCAGCACAGAAATGCAAACAACTCTGTCGAAAGTCTGAGCCGTGAGGACTGGTTGGACCAAATCTGGTCAGCAATCCCTTCTCCAGAGCATGTATTTGTTTATCACATTCTAGATCCTAGGAAGTAGTCCATGTTGAAATCGGCCATTAAAAGAATAACACCAGTTTTATATTGTACATTTCCAACCACTTCAGATTAACAGATTCATTTGGCCATTTGTTCGATGTAATTATGTTGAATACCATTAGGTGCTATGAATCCATAGAAATGTATTGTAATGGAGTCATAACAAAAATACAAATGTTTTGTTTGTTATACTTCTGTTGAATTTGCATTGACGTTCACACCTCAGCTCAAACTACATCACACGGTTTCAAAATGAGAATCTTTATTATCGTATAATCTTTGAAAATATCAAGCACGTTTAAAATGTGTTTTACATATAATGCACAGTGTCCAGAGTAGATTAGGTGCAAATGACATAAAAAGGAATTAATAAAAAAAATTAACATGCAACAGAACATGCAAACAAAGTGGATTGTTAAACATACATTTAAAACATCCGTACAATATGATTTATTTTCACAATTCAGTGTGCCCACCCTGGTAGTCGAACAATTTGTGGTGTTGAACAACGGCATCTGTGACATTCTCATTCAAGAAATTAAAAATATTAATCTGTGATTGATTTCTAAACAGTTTTGCCTGTGTACCTGTAGCCCATTTACCAACTACACACACATTTTGGCCTGAACTCAATTCCGTGCACATCAGAACCTCAGAAATCCAAGTACTCCTTACTCCATCTCTCCAGAACAGTCCTCGGCATCTCATTGGAAGAATAATGAACCAGCTTGTTTTGATTATGAGTTTGATTGATTGAAAGTGTGTATGTATCAAACGGTCAACGCTGACAAATCTTAGAATCTCTTGGGAGACCAATATGGAGATGGCATGAAAACTCCTTCAGACTTCACGATCAGTCTAAAACTCGGTAGTCCCTAGCAACAGGCGGTCCTGGGCCGTTTGCCTGCCCCGCTGCACTCATCCAGGTCCACGGTGGGTGATCCCTCTCTCTCAGTCCTCTTCCTGATGATGGAAGGCAGCACCATGTCAAACAGAGTCTCAAATAGGGGGTCCACGTTATAGCCCGTCTTGGCACTGGTCTCGAAGCACATCTTGTCAGCAGGCAGGCTGTTCGTCTCCTCCATACCCTTGTATCTCAGGATCCTCCAATACAACGCCACTGCGTCCTCCCGGCTCACCTGCTTGTTGACCGACACCCCCGACAGGGAGACGGGAGAGGCTGGAGGGGTGGGGCAGGCAGAAGGTACCCTGGGCTCCCCGGTCCTCTCCCTGTCCCCCTCTCCCTGGTCCTCTGTCAGGCCGTCTTGGGTGGCTCCCAGCTGGGCCTGGAGGTCTGTGAGGTCGGCCTTGTTGCCCACGATGGCGTAGATGCAGTCGTGATTGGCAGTGTCGGTCAGGGACAGGAAGCGCTCCTCCAGCTCAGCCAGGCTCTGCCAGTTGGTCACATCGTAGGTGAGGATGACAGCAGCAGCGCCCCGGCAGTACATGGAGCCCAGCCCGTGGAACTGCTCCCGACCTGGGGGACACACAGGGAAGGATGATCAGAACACGTTATAAGCACATAGGAGAGTAGTTGCATACACAAGAGTCAAAATATATTCATGATTGTGTTCTTATATAGACCAATGAACACCAAGTAAAGGCAAAACAACCACAAGCTTAATATAATGGGCTTCCAAACTACAGGTAGCCTAACACACATTATAGAAGGAGAGAGAGGTAGTGAGAGAAAGAGTGAGACCGGTCAATAGCTGAAAAACAAAATCAACCATTGTTATAGAAATATGCAAGAGCTCTTCAGTGTGTGTGTCAATACAGCGATCTTATCTTGGAGCCTTTGTGTGAGCGTGGAGTGCTCAGAACATCGGCCAAAGTATGTGCAAAAATCCAGGGAACCTTTGAACAAGGTCCAAATTAAATGTTTCACAGGTTGTAAGATACAGTATCTATTTACAAACCTTAGGCCTGAGTATCCAGAAGTAGCCTGCCTGACACATAAAAACCCACCAAAAAGGAGAGCCGACTGAGCTGAAATCGAGTATGAGACATATCCCTAGGATCAACAGAGTTGGGAGAAGGGGAAGAATGTTGTTTGAGAGAACTCTCCAGTGTAAAAAGTCAGTTCGGGGCAGTGGGGCTAGGGTTCAACACACACACACACACACACACTGGCCAGGCGGCCAGCTCTAGGTAGAGCCTTGGTGGTTCCAAACTTCTTCCATTTAAGAATGATGGAGGCCACTGTGTTCTTGGGGACCTTTTTGGTACCCTTCCCCAGATCTGTGCCTCGACACAATCCTGTCTCAGAGCTCTACGGACAATTCCTTCGACCTCATGGCTTGCTTTTTGCTCTGACATGCACGGTCAACTGTGGGACCTTATATAGACAGGTGTGTGCCTTTCCAAATCATGTCCAATCAATTGAATTTACCACAGGTAGACTCAAATCACGTTGTAGAAACATCTCAAGGATGATCAATGGAAACAGGATGCACCTGAGCTCAATTTCGAGTGTCATAGCAAAGGGTCTGAATACTTCTGTTAAGTATTTATATATATTAAAATAAAAACCTGTTTCGATTTGTCATTCTGGGGTATGGTGTGTAGATTGCTGAGGATTTATTTTTGTTTAACCCATTTTAGAATAAGGCTGTAACATAACAAAATGTGGAAAAAGGGAAGGGGTCTGAATACTTTCCGAAGGCACTGTGTGTGATGTATATATATATATATATATATCATTATATATACCTAATACTTAATTAATAATATAATATACATACACACACACACACACACACACACATACAGTGAGGGAAAAAAGTATGAGGGATTTTGTACCACTCCTCTTTGCAGATCTTCTCCAAGTCATTAAGGTTTCGAGGCTGACGTTTGGCAACTCGAACCTTCAGCTCCCTCCACAGATTTTCTATGGGATTAAGGTCTGGAGACTGGCTAGGCCACTCCAGGACCTTAATGTGCTTCTTCTTGAGCCACTCCTTTGTTGCCTTGGCCGTGTGTTTTGGGTCATTGTCATGCTGGAATACCCATCCACAACCCATTTTCAATGCCCTGGCTGAGGGAAGGAGGTTCTCACCCAAGATTTGACGGTAAATGGCCCCATCCATCGTCCCTTTGATGCGGTGAAGTTGTCCTGTCCCCTTAGCAGAAAAACACCCCCAAAGCATAATGTTTCCACCTCCATGTTTGACGGTGGGGATGGTGTTCTTGGGGTCATAGGCAGCATTCCTCCTCCTCCAAGCACGGCGAGTTGAGTTGATGCCAAAGAGCTCCATTTTGGTCTCATCTGACCACAACACTTTCACCCAGTTCTCCTCTGAATCATTCAGATGTTCATTGGCAAACGTCAGACGGGCATGTATATGTGCTTTCTTGAGCAGGATTTCAGTCCTTCACGGCGTAGTGTGTTACCAATTGTTTTCTTGGTGACTATGGTCCCAGCTGCCTTGAGATCATTGACAAGATCATCCCCTGTAGTTCTGGGCTGATTACTCACCGTTCTCATGATAATTGCAACTCCACGAGGTGAGATCTTGCATGGAGCCCCAGGCCGAGGGAGATTGACAGTTCTTTTGTGTTTCTTCCATTTGCGAATAATCGCACCAACTGTTGTCACCTTCTCACCAAGCTGCTTGGCGATGGTCTTGTAGCCCATTCCAGCCTTGTGTAGGTCTACAATCTTGTCCCAGACATCCTTGGAGAGCTCTTTGGTCTTGGCCATGGTGGAGAGTTTGGAATCTGATTGATCGATTGCTTCTGTGGACAGGTGTCTTTTATACAGGTAACAAGCTGAGATTAGGAGCACTCTCTTGAAGAGTGTGCTCCTAATCTCAGCTCGTTACCTGTATAAAAGACACCTGGGAGCCAGAAATCTTTCTGATTGAGAGGGGGTCAAATACTTATTTCCCTCATTAAAATGTAATTCAATTTATAACATTTTTGACATGTGTTTTTCTGGATTTTTTTGTTGTTATTCTGTCTCTCACTGTTCAAATAAACCTACCATTAAAATTATAGACTGATCATTTCTTTGTCAGTGGGCAAACATACAAAATCAGCAGGGGATCAAATACTTTTTTCCCCCCTCACTGTATACATACACACACACACACACACACACACACACACACACACACACACTACCAGTCAGAAGTTTGGACACACCTACTCATTCCAGGGTTTTCCTTAATTTTTTACTATTTTCTAAATTGTAGAATAATAGTGAAGGCATCAAAACTATGAAATAACATATGGGATCATGTAGTAACCAAAGTGTTAAATCAAAATATATTTTATATTTGAGATTCTTCAAAATGGCCACCCTTTGCCTTGATGACAGCTTTGCACACTCTCGGCATTCTCTCAACCAGCTTCATGAGGTAGTCACCTGGAAAGCATTTCAATTAACAGGTGTGCCTTCTTAAAAGTTAATTTGTGGAATTTCTTCCTTCTTAATGCGTTTGAACCAATCAGTTGTGTTGTGACAAAGTAGGGGGGTATACAGAAGATAGCCCTATTTGGTAAAATACCAAGTCCATATTATGGCAAGAACAGCTCAAATAAGCAAAGAGAAACGACCGTCCATCATTACTTTAAGACATGAAGGTCAGTCAATATGGAACATTAAGAACTTTGAACGTTTCTTCAAGTGCAGTCGCAAAAAACATCAAGCGCTATGATGAAGACCACCACAGGAATGGAAGACCCAGAGTTACCTCTGCTGCAGAGGATAAGTTCATTAGAGTTCCCAGCCTCAGAAATTGCAGCCCAAATAAATGCTTCACAGAGTTCAAGTCACAGACACATCTCAACATCAACTGTTCAGAGGGGACTGTGTGAATCAGGCCTTCATGGTCGAATTGCTGCAAAGAAACTACTACTAAAGGACACCAATTAGAAGAAGAGACCTGCTTGGGCCAAGAAACACAAGCAATGGACATTAGACCAATGGAAATTTGTTCTTTGGTCTGGAGTCCAAATTGGAGATTTTTGGTTCCAACCACTGTGTCTTTGTGAGACGCAGTGTGGGTGAACGGATGATCTCTGCATGTGTAGTTCCCACCGTAAAGCATGGAGGAGGTGGTGTTAGTGTGTGGGGGTGCATTGCTGGTGACACTGTCTGTGATTTATTTAGAATTCAAGGCACACTTAACCAGCATGGCTACCACAGCATTCTGCAGCGATCTGGTTTGGGCTTAGTGGGACTATCATTTGTTTTTGAACAGGACAATGACCCAAAACACCTTCAGGCTGTTTAAGGGCCATTTAACAAGAAGGAGAGTGATGGAGTGCTGCATCAGATGACCTGGCCTCCACAATCCCCCGACCTCAACCCAATTGAGATTGTTTGGGATGAGTCGGACAGCAGAGTGAAGGAAAAGCAGCCAACAAGTGCTCAGCATATGTGGGAACTCCTTCAAGACTGTTAGAAAAGCATTCCAGGTGAAGCTGGTTGAGAGAATGTCAAGAGTGTGCAAAGCTGTCATCAAGGCAAAGGGTGGCTATTTGAAGAATCTCAAATATATTTTGATTTGTTTAACACTTTTTTTGGTTACTACATGATTCCATGTGTTATTTCATAGTTTTGATGTCTTCACTATTATTCTAGAATGTAATAAAATAGTCAAAATAAAGAAAAACCCTTGAATGAGTAGGTGTCCAAACTTTTGACTGGTACTATACATCTCAGACATAGTCCAAACCTTATTGTTTTTCTGAAGAAATTCTCTATTGAATGAAGATATTTTCATAAAACATTAAATTAAAAGCATTTTATGGTTGAACACCCTACATGATGTGGCCAGAAATTGGAGGATTTGGGGGAAATTACAACAACATCTCTTAGCCCTACTATGTTCTGTCAATCATCCCCTCCCAAATAATTTCTTCCTTGATTGCGCAATCATATTACTAGATCAACTTCCTATTTTAACCTCTGATGTGGACATAGCACTGTA